AGAATAAAATACTACTAATTTCCTTAGTGGCAACATCCAGCATCGCCTAGAGTCATCCAAACATGTTGTAATGCCAAAATAACATGGATGAGATGATTTCTATTACTTCAGTGATGGCTGGTGGGGCTGTGAACACCATATAAATCAACGGTAAAAAATGATCTAACATGCTTATGCTTATTAGCTGAAGATAACACAATGGAAACATGGAAGAAAAAAAAGATATTGCCAAAGCATGTTTACACAATGGTTAGGTGCAAACAAGGAAAGACCCTATAGTTGTAACTGTACTTATAAATGTAATCTTGAAAATCATCAGTATTATTTGTCAGTAATTACTCACAGGATTATGCTTAATCCCAAATTACAAATTTGGGGAATTTTGTGTCACCCAGAATCAGATGATTGCAGCAGCTGAAATAAAATATTTAAACACTACACTTTTTACTTCTTACAAATTCTGGAATTGAATTTATGTAATCAATTGAAAATATGAATTAATAGCACAGCCAAGGAAGCAGATATTTGTCATACCAAGAAACTACCATAGGGATACATACTATGGAAAGGAAAGGAATCAGAGCCTTTGTGTTCTCAATCTATTGTGCAGTCAGGGAGATGGCTCTTTTTAGCTAGGGAGATTGAGGGCAAGCAACTTCTAGGTCACTGCTGCACTACAAGCCTGGGCAATGCAAATCCATGCTGATCCCACTTACATTTGCACATTCCAGGGAAGGAACAGCCTTCTTCATTCTTCTCACAGCTCTGCGGAATTTTGCATTCCTTCAAGTGTGTAACTTGCAGCTGCTCTGTGCTCCTCAAAAATCAGAAAGAAAAGAACAGTGAATATGGATCAGTCACCTTCAGTCACGTCAAAATGCAATTGGGTGGCAACTTTTGGAGGGCTACAGAGTTTTGTTTTTTTTAAAAAGGACACAATTAAAACCATTTTTTAAAAAAATATATTTTTTCCAAGAACCTCAGTCTCAGTCCACAAGAATCTTGAGTAATGATTTGACAACCCCTCCCCCCTTCTAGAGTTTTCAGAATTATATAAATGTGTGCAGGTGGTCTTTGACCTACAACCTTTCATTTAGCAACCATTGAAAGTTACCATGGCACTGGAAAGACTGACTTATGGCCAGTCCTCACACTTGTCATAGCATCCCCATAGCCACATGCTCAGAATTTGGGCACTTGGCAATTGGCATGTATTTAGGATGGTAAATGTGATGTTGGTTGGGCTCCTTGCTTGTGAATAGTTATTTATAAAATAAATAAACAGCTGACACCATTGGAGAAAGTGGAGGAGACCCCACTTTGAACTGTGGCTTTGCCACCTACCCTCTCTCTCCCTGTTCTGTTGTTGAAATTTTATCTTTCCGTACTTACTTGCACAATGGGTATGTGTGTGTGTATTGTTTTGAGTTTGCTCATATGGAGTTCACTGAGTGGCAGTCACATATAAAGCAACGTGTCACCAGCATAATTGCCAATGGTGATGTTTCCATGGACACCACGGAGTGTGCCCATGGTTTTGATATCATTCTGATAATTTCTGTCAGTAGGTGTTTTCCTCTTTATCTCTGATTAATTTTAATTACTTCATTACAATGTTTTCATTTAATGCTTATTTATTGGGTTGTTTATAAAACTTCCATTATTTGCATCTGCGTTGAAGATCCTTTCAGGGATTAATTGTTGGGATGTTCTAAAAATAAGCTGCTTGATATAATCCTAACCACAGTGGAAGTGTTTCCTACTAGCTTTATACGCAGCTTGTAGCCTACATGTTCAGAAATACCATCACCCCCGAAAATTATTTAAATAAAGAGCATAATAATACACAGGAAATAACCAAATAATAAAACTTTGCTCTAACGTGAAGAAACGTCAGATTCAGCAATGTCTGAAAACTACCACTTCCTCACAATTGCTTTCTCTTGTTGGTAACCAAATTTAGTGAAAAGCAGCAATGTAATATAATTGCTATATGATGTGGTAAACTGAATTGCAATATACATTCAGGAGTTGGATAATTTCTCTGTCTGTCTGTCTAATTTGCCAACTCCTGAAGCTATACACATAGTCCTCAATTTATGACTATTTGTTTAGTGACGTTCAAAGTTATAACATCACTGAAAAAAAAGGGACTTATGAGCTTTTTCACTTATGATTGTTGCAGTATCCCCAAAGTACGTGATCAAAATTCAGACTCCTGGCAACTGAACTCATATTTATGACAGTTGCAGGGTCCCAGGATCATGTGATCACCTTTTGTGACTTTCTGACAAGCAAAGTCAATGGGGATGCCAGATTCACTTAACACCTAGGTTACTAACTTATCAACTGCAGTGATTCACTTAACAACTGAGGCAAGAAAGGTCATAAAATGGAGCAAAACTCACCAACTATCTTGCTTAGCAACATCAATTTGGGGCTCACTTGTGGTCGTAAGTCAAGATTGTAAGTTGTATGCCATCTGACACTCAATAACTCTGGGCAACTTACAACAATCACAAAAAATACAATAATATTAATAAAACCACTTGGTGGATATATATATTATTTTTATACATTTATTATATAACAATTTTTAAATTTTAGTATGATAAAATGGTACAATTGTTTTAGCCTTAATTCTCAATTCTGTCAAATGCTAATGCTAGTATCATTTGCCCTTTGACCGGGTTAGAGAAGACTGCTTTCTATTTCAGTGGGGCTAGTGATTTATTTCACTTTGTCTCAGCAACTTGTGTTAGCAGCAGTTCTTGCTAATCACTTGGGGTCAGATCTTTCCTAGTGTGATTTCAAAGGATATAACACTTTCAAGACTTCAACCCAAATAAATATATGTAGGAGAAAAGAATCCCATTGCAGCTACCAGGCTTCCTGGGAGGAAGAATGGCATAACAATAACTAACAACTGGGAGGCAAATTGGTTTTATCTATAAAAAGGAAAGTCTCTTTCAAGTTGAATGTGACTCCTAGTGACTTTCATGGATACACCCATGGATAATTTCCAGTTTGGTTTGCCCCACCACAACCCCCCACAATTCCTGCATCCTTTCCAGTTCAGAGCAAGCACACACGCCTCTCAGTAAAGCTATCAAAAATGTAGCTTGATGTTTATTTATCAAAAGTCAGCAAAGATCAAAGACAGTTAATGGGACAAAAGACAGGCAAAATCAGAGAGAGACACTGATGGAGAGAGAGAGAGAGAGGTGAATAAAAGGGCAACAGGTAAAAAACCAGGGAACTCAATAACAACAATCCACAGTCTCAATATCTACATATCTAGAGGGCCATAATTTTCCAGTGCAACTGAAAACAATATTATAGATAGTTAGCATGGATAATAGACTTTGGTTATTTAGTTTTTAACCTTTTATGTATATAACAGCTGCAGAATAAAGAAGGAAAGCATGAGACCAGCTGACCCTTCTATTCTATATCACGAAGGAAACAATTTGGTGGACACTGATGAGGTACCCAGCATGGAAGTGGTTGGTCATTATCTTCTTCTCATACTAGCCTACAGTCCTGGACTTCCTAGATGCAATTCTCCATCCATGGACTAACCAGAGCCAACCTTGCTTAGCTTTCTGGATTAGCCAAGATTGTACAGCATAGAAACTGAGACTAGAAGGTTCATGTGTAAAGGGGAAAAGCATAAATGTACTAGTGAGATGGCATCTTCTGTAGACTGAAGCTGAAAAGTGAAGATATTATGCAGTGCTCTCACAATTTGGGTGCAGTTTTCCTGTTCTAAATGTATCACATCTTCCTCTTTCAAGTCCCTGTTCCTTCAAAAAAATGGAATTTAGAAAAGAGCAGTGCTTGGCACTTCTGCCTCAAGACTTATAGTTAAAAACATACTGTTCTTCTCCATAGGGACATTGTTGAATTACATCTAGAAGCCCAAGAGGCTTGTAAATGTGAATTGAGTCTCAAAAGTATGTGAACTGCCAAACATCTGCATTCTCAGGAGACATCACGGGAATGGCGAAACCAGTGACAAAGCAACAAAAATGTTTTCTTCTTGGGTTAAAGGCACTACAGCTGTTGAGGAAACCTCTCTATTTCCCACCAGAAATGTAGACTTATTTTTAGAAATGCCTTGAGTACTACTTTGATCTGACCTTCTGTTTTAAAACAGCTTCTGTGCAATGCTAAACAGATACAAGACTTTTCTGTTTTCATTTTGTCCTCATCTTTAGAGTACTGATGAGGTGCAATGAACAAATTGCTTTGCTATTGTGGGTGGGGAGGCAGGGAAGGGCTCTTTGGTTTCCATGAGCAATTCTGGGGACTATGGAAAATAACTAAAAGGAGCAGGAGAAGTGCTTTTTTTAAAAAATAAAATAAAATTGGGGCTTTATCAAAGTGCTTCTTGGTGCCATGCTTGCATAGAGGTCACATTTCCACAGAAACAAAGCAATGGGAACCAGCCAGATGTTCCATTGGAGCACTTTGCTCTTTATCTTCATCAGCCTGAGTCTGGCAAATTACCTTGCCAGAAGTGGTTTTGTGGAGGCGTTTGAAAAAGTGGGTTTCACTGAAATAAAGCAACCCTGCAAAACCATATTCTTCACACAACACATTTTATCTATGAAGTTCCAGTAACAGAAGCTGTAGGCTTCTTAAGTTTCTGGGAAACATGAACAGAAGAATAAGGTCAGTCTCCTCACTAAGGTTGGCTCCTGGTGAGTCATGAATACATCCAGGTTGTTTTCTAGGGAACAACATGGATTTGTTTTGCCACTGCTTTCTTCTGTGATTTTTTTTTCTGCATCTCAATCAGTGGTTTTCTGGTGGTTATTCATACAGATGTGCTTTTCAGGCATCTTCTTGGCCACCATGGCAACAAAGTGCTTGGTAAGATGGCCTTGTGGTCTAACACAGTGGGGTTCTTTTACTTTCTTACATGTCCATTGCTTGACACAAGTTACTATACTGAATCCTTCTTTCTTAGTTATTTTTTGGGGGTTTCATTTCAGGTTAGACCAGTGCTGCCTACCAGTTTCTCCAGATTGATGAAAACCAGGAAAGATGTAAGAAAAAAGTTCAGCTTCCAGTTAAATATATGCATGGATACTATACTTCACTTTAAATGCTGCTGATGTTAAGCTCTGCTGGACAGTTAAGCTAATAAGAAGGACTCTGAAAAAAGATTGGAAAAGAGCTGCCTGTTAAAACTGCCTATTGTTTATTTTTCAAAAAATATTTTTGTTCTTTTCTACTTGAAAATTTTTCCTTTGAAAAAGATAATTGCCACCCTGGCTAATCCTAAATCCGAATGGCTCTATGCCTTAAGCAAGTTTTTAACAAAGACAAAACATTTCGTCCCCGTAAAAAATTTGAACCAGGCACCCAGCGGTTTGAGCTGTACAAAAAAGCCCAGGCTTCTCTCAAATCAGGGCTAGACTTAAAGACTGTGGTCCAGTTGCCCCCAGGGGAGAACATCAATGACTGGATTGCCGTGCATCTCGTGGACTTCTTCAACAGGATAAATCTCATTTATGGGACCATATCTGAGTTCTGCACCGAGAAGAGCTGCCCCATTATGTCTGGTGGTCTGAAGTATGAATACCGATGGCAGGATGATTATCGATTCAAGAGACCTACCAAGCTTTCAGCACCTCATTACATGTGCATGCTGATGGACTGGATTGAGACACTAATTAATAATGAAGACATCTTTCCTACTAGAATAGGTAAGTAAGCTTTGATTGCTCCCTGGAAAGTTGATTCTTCAAACTCTTTCTCCTTGTAACATAAGAGCATTATTTATTTTGGCTTCAATGGTTCTCCAAGTTCTCTTATCAGTATTCTAAAGTGAGTATCCCTTCTACTCACTTCAGAAGCAAAACTGGAAAAGAACCCGGGATCAGTTCCTGGGAGTGGGGAAAATTTCTTTCTCCATGCTGGTCCTTCCATAAAGCATGACCATTCATCAACAATGCCAAAACTGACTAACTCAATCACAGATCTTCACCTTTTAGTACTTCTTTTGTTTTGCTTCCTATTTAGCTTCCTTGTTAAAATGGCCAGCAACTCTCTGTCAGGGGATGCCTTGGAGGATCTTTAGAACAGATTTTGATTTCCAGCAATGTGCACTGTCCCCTGCCACCAGGAGTATACAATAACACAAGCCTCATGCCTCTCATAACTGTCAGAAGATTCACTACTCTTCCTTGAGGGAACTGGATGGCCCATGTACCACAGAATTTGGATGTTGGTAATGCTGCCAGGTGCCTTAATCTACTATCCTTCACTAAAAAAACAGAAGTATTTGAAATACTGAACTAGCTGACAGGTAATATCTTCTCCCAAAGGCCTAGTAACAGATCAGTCCCTCAGAGAAAACTGTGAGTTTTCCGCTGCCTTTGATTCCACCATCACCCAGGAGAAACAGGAAGAGACAGAAATCTCTTTTTATTGCCCCTGACTGGAAAAACTTTATAGGATGAGACATATAGGAAGGGAGAGAAGCAGGTTCAGTCTCTATCCTTTTCCTCCTCAGAGAAGGATCCCTCTCCAAACCCCCACCTTTGAAGACAGAAGAAGCAACTGACCAAACAGGAGAGAGACATGCAATTCCCCCCTTACACCACGTCAGTTTTTAAATCCAGTCACAAAAAAGGGAAGATTGTACTAAATGGAGAAGACTGTAGCCAGTCTCTATGTCCACTGGAGTGCTTCCCTGCTACTCAGAAAAAATCAGATTCAATTTTTTTAAAAATACAGATAATTAGCTACTCCTCTCACAGGAATTATTCTGTAAAATTGTTGGCTTAACCCAGAGCCTTCAAACTTGGCCCCTTTATGACTTGTGGATTTCAACTCCCAGAATTCCTCAGCAAGACTTTAATTCTGGGAGTTGAAGTCCACAAGTCATAAAAGGGCCAAGTTTGAAGACCCCGGCTTAACCTCTAAAGAACCACTTCAAAGCATTCAAGGCCTTAGGACTTATTTTAATGAGATGACTCACACAAGTGTAGCAGCTCTCTGATGATTATTAAAGCAGCTGCATCTTTTTTTTCTAGGCTTCCAGGCAAGCTTGGGAAAAAAAAATCTCTCCTTTAATGAGCTGAATCATTGCTGCAGTGCATCTTTAATATTACTCTTAATGCAGCAGCGTCTCTTCTCAGGTTGGCACTAACTGCAGACAGCCAGTTCTGCTTTTTTTTTTTTTTAAAAAAAAAATGCAAACAATACTTTCACAAATACAAAAGGAGGGTGTGAAAGATGAGTATTGAATTTTTCTTCTATTGTGAAGGAATGCTATTTTGACACAGCGTGTTTCTTCTCATTTTCACAGCTGGTCAGCTCCATAAATGCTTACTTATGTCATTTCTATCGTTTTCCCCTCCCATCTCCTTTCAAAATTCATACTTTGCAACTTTGCAGCTGCCTTTGTGCCTTTCTCATCATACTTTGCTTTAAAGCACAGATTGAGGCTGATTTATGGGAAAAGGCAAATAATAATACTTTAAAAATCCATGACAAAATACAATTGTTCTGAATGAATCTTTCTTCCCAGACTTAACAACAGAATAGCTGAAACAAAAAAAATATATATCTAACTAACAGGTTTTACTTGACCACATCAGAGAAATGTTATCTTGGAAAGATGAATTGTTTAAGATTCTCTTATGTAATATACCTGTGCTTATTGTTTCTCATTTATAATGCATTAATATATCAATCAATACCATACTGGAATAAGCAGCACTTTGAACTTACCCATTCCTTACTATGATAGTCAAAATGACAAAATGTGCATTGTGATTCCTAATGCAAAATTTCCCGTTTCCTACTTGTGACACACAGTGTTATATATAAATATGTAAGGAGCAGAGTTTGCATTATGATGTCCTAACAGGCATTTAGTTCCTTCTTCCATTCCTCCATCAATGCTCTTGGATACTGGGCAAGGTGGTGATCAGGATTTAGAAATTCTACATGGTGCCATTCTACAGTTCTCCCCTCTATACTCATAGGATTGTAGTCAGACAACAGTTTCTCTTTGAGGATGACAAAATTGAGTACCATTTATATGTCTACTCATCCTATTATAATATTTGTTCACAGATAATCTTTGCAGATATTCCTAGTCTTTAAATTAAAAACAAACTATTTGTAAATGAACCAAAAATGTTATATGACATTCAACTCACTTCAAAATGATTGACCCAGACTCCTGATAGCAAGAATTGAATGTTGATGCATTTGTATTCCTTGGTCATAAAACTAGACTCACAAAATACATTTTTAGTATTGTTTCAGGAAGTACTTAATACAATAATGCAGCATGCCTTTTTCTGATATGTATTATTCTCTATGAACATTCTGTCACTTCGCGAAGCTGGAGAGAAATTGTGGCAATCCATTTCCACATTCCAAAGATGATTGTAAGAACCAAAAACTCATGATTCTTACTGAAGAACAAAACAAAACAAAATCTCAGTAAAAATATCCTGCTTGTAGTCTCAGAGGTCAAGAATACTATACGTGAACTGCAATTCACTTTTAATATTGCAAGTAAAATCAGCTGTGGAAAAAGAACTTCAGGAGAAAATTGTGAGTGATAAGTCCAGGGAGGATTTGGCATACTTTTCCTCATTATACTTTTATTCTTCAGATCAAATTGCCACTCTTGGCTTTTAAAGATGAAGAAACACATTAAAAACAAGCACTGGGAGGGGAGAGAATTGCCATTATTAGGCTTAGTTTGTCATTCAAGAAATTCACAGCTAGAAACTGGCAAATAATGACCATTTTTACATCGATGAGAAAAGTGTCTTTGTAGTATCATCCAGTCATTCTTGAAGTAATATAAGCCACTCCTCATTACTGTTATTTTGAAACAACAATGGCAGGATGACTCTAAAGTCACTAGTAGGAAAATGACTAATGTCAGCGATATGGTATTGAACTTCAGTAAAACTTTATTTGGATGCCAGTGAATTGATATTGCAATTTCCTAGGATCCAGAAATAACACCATCAATTATGTTTTGTTTGCCATTGCCTTCTCAGCAGTGTGTGCTTGGTTAAATTGCTACACACTTGAGCAACTGCTAGCTAGTTAGCTAGAAACACTTCTGTTTAGAATGCATTGCAAAAACTGTAACATTGGAGAATTATTGGACTGGGATTAGGGCTAGGCCATAGCTTTTTAACTTTTCCAGTTTTACACTTTTTCAGTCAACATGGTACCATACAAAGCTTGGAGGAAAGTAGAATAAAATTTTCCTTTATATTTTTTTCTCAGTGAAAGCTGCTCAGAAAAGCATCTTACCAAACACATGAAAATAGATGGTATCCAAATTGAGACTGGATACTACTACTGTGCAACGTTTGTTCAATAATCTTTCCTGGGCAAATAGCCTGAAACAGTTCAAAAGTTTAATATGCTTTTCCTAGTTTCAATTCCAATATATTAGAAGATTTGTGTTTGTCTAAGCCAGAGGTGTCAAACTGCCAGCCCGCGGGCCGGTTGCATCATATGGAGGCCGCGCCCACCCCAGCTCCAACAGCGACGCAGCGAGTTTAACACTCGTGGTTTAAGCTGACCTTAGATATTATAGTGTTACATGAAACAAACATATTTTATCAGTTTTCTACCATGCTTCTTGATTGGGAGAAGGTTGTGATCTCTCTTCGGGCAATCAGAGAATACTATTCTTGCTTGTGAATGTCCTAATGAAAGCTTAGTTTATTGCTTTTACTGTATAGAGCAAAATTGCTTTTCATATTTCCATGTATAAAGCAGTAGGAAAAATAATAGATAAAAATAATTTTTCCTTTAATAAACTTGACTAGCCATGCGTGGTTATTCGGTTGCAGTTGGGGGGAAAAAATCAGAACTCAGCAGGATATTATTATTAACTTAATATTTTTCAGCTTACAAAGTGTTGCTCTATTTTTTTTAGTATTCTAACTTCAATAAATTATGTAAAGGAGCTCAGAACTCTATTTATCCATCAGGATAACTTTCTAAAACTGAATTGAATTGAATACTTTATTTGGCCAAGTGTGAATAGATACACAAGGAATTTGTCTCTGGTGCAGAAGCTCTCAGTGTACACGCAGCAACACAATAATGATAATCATCATAATAATAATACCAGTAAGAGGGGTGAGTAAAGAAGATAATAATAAGGATAAATAATACTACAGCCATACTACATGGGTAAATACACTGTTGAGGATTAGGTGGCTTGAGAGGAAAAACTATCCCTGTGTCTGTTTTGTTTTGGCATGCAGTGCCCTACAATGCCATCTTGAGGGGCAGGAATTAAAACAGTTTATATCCAGGTTGTGAGGGGTCTGCAGATATCTTCTCAGCTACACAGGTGTTCTGTGGAAGTCAGGCTGGTTGAACAACATGAGGTGAGTTTGGTATGGCAGGATAAGCCAGCAAGTGAAAGACTGAGTTTGAAAACAGTCCACATCTGCCTTGAGGCTATAGAGGAAAAAAAATCCCCAATACATCCCTCTAGGACAGGCAGTTCAGCAGTGTTTGTGACTGCTCCACTCTACTCTCCATTCCTCTCAGTCACATGACCTAGAGTCAAGCAGAGCACATGCAGCCACACTCACACACACAACCTCTTGCCAGTGTGTGTACATCTAATACAAAGACATTACTGTACTTCTTTGTTCAGAATGCAGATGCATTTTGTGATCAGTAGCTGGTAAACAGGTGGAAAAAATTTCAGAAGCCACATTCTGCATGCTGTCCCCACTTTGTTTCATATTTTAGCTGTGAGAATAATTAGGCAGAAAGCTGTACTAGATAATAATAATAATAATAATAATAATAATAATAATAATAATAATAATAGTAGTAGTAGTAATAATAGTAGTAGTAGTAGTAGTAATAATAATAATAATAATAATAATAATAATAATAATAATAATAATAATAATAATAATAATAATAATAATAATAATAATAATAATAATAATAATAAAGTTGGAAGGGACCTTGGAGGTCATCGAGTCCAATCCCCTGCTCAGGCAGGAAACCCTACACCATTTCGGACAGATGGCTGTCCAGTCTCTTCTTAAAAACTTCCAGTGTTGGAGCATTCACCCCTTCTGGAGATAGGTTGTTCCATTGGTTAATTGTTCTAACTGTCAGGAAGTTTCTCCTTAGTTCTAGATTGCTTCTCTCCTGATTAGTTTCCATCCGTTGCTTCTTGTGCTGCCCTCAGGCGCTTTGGAGAATAGCTTGACTCCCTCTTCTTTGTGGCAGCCCCTGAGATATTGGAACACTGCTATCATGTCTCCCCTCATCCTTCTCTTCGTTAAACTAGACATACCCAATTAAAGATGTATCTTTAATCACATTAGGGTTTTAAAAAGAGGAGCAGAGGGTTTTCATTAAAGAGTATTGAAGGAAAAGTCATCATCAGGGTTCAGCCCAAGCCGGGAATAAACAACATGGTGACTGCTTTAGAAAGAAGGTTGTAGTTTTTTGAAGAGGAGAGCCAGACAGAAAGATGGCTCTGGAAGAAAAGAGAGAGCGCACATATAGGGAGTGGGTTTTTATACCCTCTGGGGCTCTTGAGGTGGTTTCCTGTTCCTGTTTGAGGCTTTATATTTCTTGTGTCATGTATTTTGACCTGAGTCTGAGTGTGCCCCTTTGGCATCTGTGGGTTAATCCTGTTTTATATCCTGTCTTAGAGTTTGGATGGGGTATGTAGATTTTAGGTGTCTTTGTCTTCCTAAGCTTCTAGCTGGAGGCCTCCAACCTTCCTGAATGGATTATCACATCTGCATTTCTACAGAGCTGTTTTCTGCTTGGGGGAGGGAGACTTGGGGCTATTAAGAAAAAGTGGGCATGCTTTTCTGCCTCTTTAAGATCCTTTGAGGAAATATAATATTCTGCCCTTTTAATATTTCCTTCTCTGGGGAGAGGGGGCTGACTTCCCACAAGAGTAACATGGAAGAGGCAATGATTTTCACTGATCTTTTTTCTCAGTTGCCTTGACACCAAAAAGCCAACCCTCAATTAGCTATACAGCAAAAATAATGGGAGTTTTCCTTTTAAGGTTCTGGCAGCTGTTACAAAAGGGCAGAGGAGAAAAGATTGTTTCCCCTATACTGCTATCCTAAAGAATCCATCCCCATGCTTGCTTTTAATTAAAACTCTGAACATTCATTCTGAATTATGCTGCCAAAATCTTAAATAACTCTATCCAAAACACAGCATGTCAATTTGCATACAGTTAACTTTTGAATTGAGCATGGCATAGATGCCATGGCCTCTTTGGCTCTGCTTCATTGGTTACTTTACAATCTGACATCCTGTCAATACAAGCAGATAGCATAAATGTAAATGTAAATTGGGGATACTAAAAGCTAAGTAGAACTTATAAGCAATGGTATATGTAGCTAGTTTGCATTTGTGCTTAAAAAGGATATTTCTCAATTACAAACTAAGGAGTGGAGATAAGATGAAGAAAAGTCTTCAGAAATATGTAATAGCTGCACAGATGACAATTTTATAACCAAGATAGTACAGAGCAGCATCTATATAAGCTTTTTATGTATGCTAAAATTTGCTGGAAGGCTACATAGTTTTGACTTTTCCCAAGATTACACATGGCTGAAGGTTGTTTGTGCAAACAATGTTTCAAAACAAGTGCTTTACAACTCTCCCATGCCATTTTAGTACTTTAACTTTCTAGCTATGCTACATTTCATTTTTACAAAACAGTGTTTTAAACTTGTATTCTCAAGGGAAAAAAACTATTTTTGGCACTATTCTCGTAAACCAGAAAATCTAGAATTTGCCTTTCAAAGCTATTTGTAGTCTTAAAGTCCTTCTTGATAGGATCACTGGACATACTGAGTCCCAAACTAGCCAACATATTTTAGCTTAAGTTGTGGTGCAAACAAAATTGGTATATAGTTAACTTAGAGTTGTATGTCATGAAAACTAGAAAATTGGGTTAGTAGCACTTGAGAATTTCTTATATGTTACACAACTGAGTCTCATGAGTTCTGTTGTACAGCTGGCTGCCAGGAAGCAAGTTAGCAAGCTTTAAATTTGCCACAGGCCAGAGATAAGGAAGTTTGGGTTTTACTGCAGTTAGCTGGATAAAACAGCTCTTGTAAAGTGTTTTTGCAGGACCTTTGTGGATAGATTGTACTTATGATCACACAGACGTTGAGACCAGTAAGCCAGCAATCAGATAACCAATCCATTGGAGAAGCAATAAATGAGGTCAAAATAAATCTAAGAACAAAAACACTGCAGGATATTCACAGGGAAGAGCTGAATTTCTGATAAGTTGTTTTCAACAGTCTCTGGAGGGACAATATGGTAAATAAACTGAACCTCCCCCTCCTCAAATAGTAGCTGCAGAGTCTGTTGTTCTGTTGTCTGGTTGGCTTCCCATATCTGCAAAGTTAAGCCTTCTGGTCCTAGATCAGACCAAGAGTTGGACACCCAGCCCTGGGGTAAACCCCAGCTAGCTGGTAAAGTACCCCCAGCGGTTCGTTCCGACAGGCGGTAAAAAAAACAGGCGGTAAAAAAGGGGAAAAGGCCGCCCACGGAATGGAGGGAACCCGACCCGGTCGACCACCAGCCGGACGAGGCAGAGACGGTGAACGGTCGATGCGGAGCCGGGGCACAGGGGGCGGAACTACGCATGCGCGGCGCTCCCGGGCAGGGAAAGTACTCAACTTACGACCGGTTGGGTAGTCCTCGACTTACGACCGGTTTAGTCCTCGACTTACGACTGGTTTAGTCCTCGACTTACGACCGGTTTAGTCCTCGACTTACGACCGGTTGGGGTCGTGGCATTTAAAAGGTTGAGAACCACTGTCCTAGATCTTCAATAAATGCCTCTGCCTAGGACTAAGTGACTGGGCTTCTGAATCTAAGAGATTGTCAGTGATATGGGTGAAGGGTTCTATGGATTTGCTGGTTCTGTTAAAGTCAGTAAGATCAATGGCTCTGTATTGCTGGAATCTCCAATGACAGGACTGCTACCACTTGATGCTTCTGACTCCACTTTCTTCCTAAGTTAGATGTATTCTAATAATACAAAGAGGCAGGACTAGAACTCATGGTCTTCCAATTTCTAGCCTAATGCCTTCACTACTATACCAAACTGGCTCTCAACTGTATTTAGAGTCTTCATTTAAGAGGGCATGTCAACTGACAGGGCAGTTGACATGTTGCATGTTAATGTATTCAGAAACAGAATTATCAGATTAAAATTGTATATAGACAGTCCTCAACTTACAACTACAATTGAGCCCAATATTTCTGTTGCTAAGCGAGACTTTGTTAAGTGAGTTTTGCCCCATTTTATGACCTTTCTTGCCACAGTTATTAAGTGAATTGTTAGAATTGTTAAATTAGTAACACAGTTGTTAAATGAATCTGGCTTCCCCATTGACTTTGCTTGTCAGAAGATTGCAAAAGGTGATCACATGATCCTGGGACACTGCAACCGTCATAAATATGAGTCAATTGCTAAGTGTCTGAATTTTGATCCTGTGACAATGCAGATGCTGCAACAGTCGTAAGTGTGAAAAATGGTCATAAATCACTTTTTCAGTGCTGTTGTATCTTTGAACGGTCACTAAATGAACTGCTGTAAGTCGAAAACTACCAGTAAACATTCAGAACAGCACTAGATGTCAATAAAGAGATAGAGAAAGTTCTAACTGTACTGTCATCTGGTAGGCAACTTTATGCTTCATAGCTCTATTTTGAAAGAATTTCATTGATTAACTGTATCATCAAATCCCATAAAATGCTTATGATATATTCTAACCTACTCTGCAGGTATAAAAATTTACTCTGTGCTGTGAAAACATCCGCCCACACACACTATCTTCAAAATATTTCTCTAGTGCTAGATGAATCACTCTAATGATTTTTAACGCCTATCATTCATAAACTTTACAATTACAGTGAAAGACATAGACAAGGTGATACTTGAAGTGTAAGCTCCAATCCCTGCGATCTTCAGGTAACACTAAGTCTAGGTGGGCAAAATCCTTCTGCATGAGTTCATAACCAGTATTGATCATCATGAGGCTATACGGATAAATGGTTTGATTGCATAAAAGGACAGCTTCGTTTATTCTTGAAGTATTGGGAGGCAACTGTCCAATGTGCTGTTTTTGTTCAGTCACTAAGTTGTGTCCGACTCTTCACAACTCCATGGACCATCACACATCAGGCCCCTCTGCCCTCCACTGTTTCCTGGAGTTTGACTCAAAGTTCAATCCATGCTCATCTAAATATCAACTTTGTATTGTTACATAGCCGCAGTATGACAATTGTAAGGTTTATGATGTTAAAGTGCATGTGGAACAGATTGATTCTGGTAACGCAAACAATACGCTACAATAGAAGCAGACTTTTCTCAAGGCATTCACTTTGTCCCTGATGATACTAAAACTTTAGCACTTGGACTATGTGAAGGAGGTACAAATAGAATGACACAACTAGTAGTTCACCAAAGCTTTCTCCTTGGCCACATTTGTTTGATTTTGAGGTGCTAGGAGACTGTTTTTTTTTTCTGTTTTGCAGGTGTACCTTTCCCCAAGAATTTTCAGCAGGTCTGCACAAAGATCCTCACACGCCTCTTCAGGGTTTTCGTCCATGTTTATATCCATCACTTTGACAGCATCATCAGTATCGGTGCTGAAGCTCATGTCAACACTTGCTACAAACACTTTTACTACTTCATCAATGAATTCAGTTTGGTTGATCAAAGGGAATTAGAACCACTGGTAAGAAACATCCTGTCATCCTTCTTACTTCTAAACAGTGAGGGTTTTCTTTGGATGAAAGAATGCTGGAAAGAGCAGTTGTGCAGAATAACACAGGGATCCTTTGGCTTATTGTTTTCCAGGTTCCTAGTGATTAAGCCATGCATAATTAATCTGCATAGGCACATGATTTTTTATGTTGCACAGACAGGAAAGTAAATTAGGGAGACATTTGGGATGGTGGTGGATAAGAACATACTTTTGGAACAAGACAAATTGATCCAGAATAGAACAAAGAGATCACCAAAGCAGAAATCTCATCTACGCAACAATGACCTGCAACTCTATTTGAATACCACCAAGGTATTCCTATATTTTTTTTGGAGAACAGAAACTTAATACATTTCTTTTTGCTTTAGAATTACATATAGGTAATTGTAAGAGCTGCACTAAAACTTCCAGTTGCGTACTTCCTAGGTGCCTTAAGGAATACATGTATGATAGTCACAGGAGTAAAAACAAAATCCCCATCAAGGTAGCATAGCTTCACTTTATTAGATTTATATGGTGTCTTTCATCTAAAAGCTCAAGATAGCTTACAAAAGAACCTCTTTAATTTTATCCCCACAAAAGCAACCCTGTGAAACAGATTTAGAGGGGAGGGACAGCCCTCTATTTAAAGGTAACCCACCAACTTCCCATGCTATGCTTAGCCATGCATTTTAAAACATAGTTTGTTGACTAAACCATATTTGGTTGGCTTTACCCATTGCATAAGCCAAAAGCCATATCTAGCTTATGAACCACAGTAGCTGGGTTCATTTATTGCACTAAGTTATAATATGGTGGGTTTTTTTTGGTTTTCAATTTAGCAAGATATGTGAGCCCAGCTGCATCAAAATGGATTGCTCCACCTGAAATCTATTTTTTCTGAATAAGGCACTTGCTGTTTGGGAGCAGTTTTGTAGATGAGAATATATATGCAGTGTTTCACATACATCAGAATAACTGCTGATCCTAAAAGGCAATTAAAACACAGGAAATCAATGAAGGTGGGAAGAAGGAAAAAAATATACAGTAATAACTTCCCTCCTTCCTGCTGTTACCCTTAAGGCATAATAAGAGGAAGTTTCTCCACAAATATCCTCGTAAAGTGGCAGTAACGTATGCTCAGTATTGTTGGCTGGCCAAATGGGAATTGTTCTTTGTTCTTTGTACCATATTGTTCAATCAATTGATTTTTAACAATTCTTTAAAGATATGAATTTGTCCTTTTGGTGCTAAGATATGCACGGGTGCATGGCTTTTACTCCTCCCTCTGTTCCCAGAGTCAAAGTGAAATGTGATTAACAACATATCTATCAGCATCCATTCCTAAGCCCAGGAATGCCGACATGATGAAATGTGTGTCATGACATCATTGTGCAAGCTCAGCTCTTTTGTAGTTGCAACATGATCACACATAAGAATGCAAGGAACACAGTTTGCCTCATGACATTGTGATGCGCATTGTATTGCTTGTTGTAGAGCAGGGGTGTCAAACTGCCGGCCCATGGGCCGGATGTGTCATCCAGAAGCCACGCCCACCCCATTGCCAGCAATGGCAAAACTGTCCTGATATGTTGTGTGACGTCACGTGACATCGTGAGTTTGACATGTCTGTTGTAGAGGAATGCTTAAATAACCTTGGAATAGCAAAGAGGAAATAAAAGATAACTCAGCCCTGGGGAAGGGACAGTGTGAGAAAGAAACTCAAGTTCTTAAGTTCGATTGGTGTTAAGAGTAGGCACAGAGAAAGTCTGGCGGGCTTTCAGTTAGTATAAAGGTAAAAGTAAAGGTTCCCCCTGCCCAGTCGTTTCTGACTCTAGGGGGTGGTGTTCATCTCCATTTCTTAGCCAAGGGTACCAGTGTTGTCTGAAGACATTTTCATGGTCACGTGGCCAAGGCACACGGAATGTTGTTACCTTTCCCTATTTATCTACTTGCATTTGCATGCTTTCAAACTGCTAGGTGGGTAGGAACTGGGGCAAGTAATGGGAGCTCACTCCATCACAAGTCACTCAGGTCTTAAACACAGACTGTCATCTCCAGCTGACAAACTCAGCATCTTTAACCACTGAGCCATCATGCCCCCTTCGGTTAGTATATCCTACTTAAATTAAGTAGCATTTATGTAATCTGTCTGAGAACTGTCTATTTCTACCCTGGTTTATCTCAATGGGAGATATTTGCCTCACACTGAAGACCTTATGAGCATATCTGCTATTACACTGACAATTGCACAACTTTCATATTGCAGTTGCAAACTTCATTCCTTCTCTAAGATTATGGGGTGCAGGATTACTGAAATACCTATAACCAGGGCTTTTTTTGTTCCGGCACCTTTTTTTGATGGAACCTTGTAGGGTAGGCAAGGCGGGTTGTATGACGTGTGTGAGTTCCAGCACCTTTTTTTTTTTTATTACAAAAAAGCACTGTCTATAACTAATGTTAGCTTAAATGTTTTGACAAGAATCCTTCTACAAAGATAAGCAAAAAACATAGCAAATTCATAGCAAATTGCCGCCAAATTAATTCTTTTCCTGATAGAAATCTCTAATATTGGGAAGAGTCTATGTCCTCCTCTCTGTACGAGTTCCCATTTTGTTATAAGAGAGAAAATAGTGGGGAAAAATATGGAATGGAATGCAGTGGGGGGAAAAAAACCACAGAAGTTCCCTGTGGATGGGCTCTAGCAGGAGTCTGAAAGCTTGGAAAACTAAACCTCTGGTCTCGGTGACAGGCCCAGATAGGATCCTGGGGGAAAAAAAAGTTCCTAAATAACATTCCTGCTTTACATGTTTGAAAGTCACCTTGTGGTGAGATGGGCGGCAAACAAATTTTAAAAATAAATACAAATAAATAAACAGCAGGGAAAGAAATCCATTCTGCATAAGTAGAGAAGGAGGCGAGGAATAAAATTCAATTTTTGTGTAATGGGTACAGCTTAGGTATACAGTAGTTATTCTATTACACAGGCATTAAGGCTATTTGCATCTGCCCATTCTCTCTAACCATCCCTTCTTCATCTCTGTTCTTGCACTAGTAATTAGGTGGCAGTCCTAATTTTGTACTAAATTAGTTAATAGGTAGGAAACATGTTGAACACACTGAACTTCCTTCCAAGTAAATGTAGAAGTGTGCTGTAAGTGTTTCCTTTGGGAACTTTGTTTCAGGTTTGAATAGTAATTTAGAAACAAGAGTAGATCCTTGTTTTCTGATTATTTTACATAAGCTTACGTAGTATAAAGAGCATCACTACTTGTGGCCAGTGTTTTAGCACTTCCAGGAAGGTATGCAGATCCAGGGATGACCTCTCTTTTCACGTCAGATGATGCTGTAGCTGGAGGCTTGTGAAAGTGAGGGATGGTAATTTTCTCCTCTATTTTCTATTGATTGGGGAACAGAGGTTCATTGTAGTGAAAACAGTTTCTGAAATAGCTTGGTTTCATTTTCTTGTGCTTGACAGAAAAAAAATATCCAAATGTCTTACCTCTCTTCTAGTCACTCTCTCAAACTCATGGGACTACACTGGAGGATGGGACCAACATATAGTCATTCTGGGATATTATCAGTAGTCTTCCAAAGAATCGAAACACTGAGAGTTGAAAAAAAACTCTAGAGCAAATGTATATCTTTTTTACTTCTTTAAAAGGGAGGGTTGATGCAAATTTTTGCAGAGTAGGGGTGGGAAACAATAGGTTATTGGTTGGAAATAGAATGTAATGGCTGCTAACCAAATCAAAGCAACACATGTGGAAGCATGGCTGGGATTCTAAATGTCTTGAGGTTTTGAACCTCTGGATCTATATATCCTGGCCTCACCTCCTACCTTGGTAGGAGATCATTACTGCTGCCACAGGACATCTCAACTACTGTCCTTCATCTATTCAATCTGTGAAAGATAAGGCGCCCAGAACTAGCTTTGCTCTTCTATTTGTTAAGAGATAAAATCAGAAAAAAACAAAGATATTTTATAATACAACCGCCTGGGTTTATACACATAAAGGTGTATAGCTAGAGATTTCAGTGCTTCCTTCCTTAATTTGAGCTCCATCTCATAGGGGATAAATGAAATCAAATATATATATATATTTTAAAAAAATGAACTCAAAATATAGTACCTGGGCCCTGATTTATAAAGAATGTATGCAATGGTCTAAACCAGATGTCAAACTGCCGGCATGCGTGCTGGTTGCATCATGTGGAGGCTGCGCCCGCCCCAGTTCCTGCAATGCAAAAAAACCACATCACGTGACACAGCAAGTTTGACACCCATGGTCTAAACAGACCATATGACAGTGATTGTCTGCTGTAATTAAGGATGCAGATTTTAAGCTCATAAAAGAAGAGAAATCTTCTGGAAAACAGTCTTACAGAATGCCCTACTTGCTCAGAAAAATAGGGATAAGAGAAAAGAAAGCTTAACACAAAGCCTAATTTTTCTGAAGTTTTTACCTATTACTTAGAGACCATTTAATCCCAAAGCAAAGTCTTTCTTTATTCTGGATCTCTTCTGACTTATTTAATGTAATGCCAGACATTTATCAGAGGTGCTGAGGGTAGCAGGCACAGCAACTTATTTTCCCCTGGAGATTTCCATCTCTCTTTAAAAGATTGAAATCTAAAAATAGCAAATATGCAAGTGAAGACCAGTCTTTAGATTGGCAGGGAAGTTACAGTATTGTGAATGCAGACTGGCTATTGTAAAAACACATATACCTTTCCTTCCTTCCTTCCTTCCTTCCTTCCTTCCTTCCTTCCTTCCTTCCTTCCTTCCTTCCTTCCTTCCTTCCTTCCTTCCTTCCTTCCTTCCTTCCTTCTCTCCCTCCCTCTCTCCCTCCCTTTGCAAATCAAGAAGGCAGAACTCAGCAACTTAATGAAGTAGGCAACCACTGTATTTTATAAATGGGAAAAGGGCTGAGACACAGAAACCTCCTCAAACATCTGTAGATGTGCTCAAAGTGTTTATTTCATACCTAAAAACAAGTTATGGCACTTTATCCACTTTATCCAATACGCTACCAAAAGTTTGTATCTTTGCAGAAGTGCTTGTTTTTCCTTGATTTTTGCATGTGCAACTTTGGGATATTTTACTGAATCCTTCCAGAAATGTCTTTCTTTTCACTTGGTACTATAAAATGAATCACTTAATTCTCTCCATCTAGGACTAATTTTAGAGATGCATCTCCCAGGGAAGCAATAATTTGTTTTACTGGAGTAAAACAGCTTTTGGTTACAATAATAATGCCCAAAAGTACAGCAATCCGGGAAATACACAGGTTGCTATGGGAATTCCCCCCTCCCCCATAATCAAAGTTGTCTGACATAGAGATGTTTGTGTCAAGAAGAAACATTGAAGAAAATAACCCA